TTAACAATGAAATCAAGATAGAAATTAAAATTGTTTGGAATGATTGATAACAGTGACAGAAGTTATCAAAATCTCAGATACAGCAAAAGCAATACTAAGAGGGAAGTTTGTAGTGCCAAATACCTTCATCAAAAAGACAGATCACAAATTGACAATGTAATAATATCACACCTCAAGGAACTAAAAAAACAGGAAGAAACCAAACCCAAAGCTAGCAGAAGAAAAGAAATAACAAAGAACAGAACTAAACAAAATTGAAACCAAAAAATACAAAGGATCAATAAAATTAAAAGTTGTTTCTTTGAAACGATAAACAAAAATGATAGACCAGTAGCTAGATTAGCTGTGAGAGGATTCAAGTAAGCTTAGTCAAAAATGAAAAGGGAGATACCATAACTGATACCACAGAAATACAAAAGATCATCTGAGACTACTGTGAACACTTATATGTATACAAACCAGAAAATCTAGATGAACTGAATAAATTCCTGGAACACATGACCCCCCAAGCTTGAACCAGGAACAAATAGAAATCTTGAACAGACCAATAGCAAGTAGTTTGACTGAATAGTGATTTAAAAAATCTCCCAACCAAAACATCCCAGGTCCAGATGGATTCACAGCCAAATTCTACCAGACATTCAAAGAACTGATACCAATTCTACTGGAACTATTCCAAAAGATCAAGAAGGAAGGAATCTTCTCTAACTCATTCTACAAAGCCAGTCTCAGCCTGATGCCAAAGCCAGGAAAGGACACAACAAAAAAGAAAACTGCAGACCAGTATCCCTGATGAACATAGATGCAAAAGTCCTCAACAAAGTACTAGCAAAACCAAACTGAACAGCATATCAAAAAGATAATTCAGCACAATCAAGTAGGTTTCATCCCAGTGAGGCAAGGATGGCTCAGCATACACAAGTCAATAAATGTGATTCACCACATCAACCAAATTAAAAACCCTATGATCATTTCAATAGATGTAGAAAAAGCATTTGATAAAATCCTGTATCCCTTTGTGGTAAAAACCCTCAACAAATTAGGCATAGAAAGAACGTACCTCAAAATAATAAAAGCCATATATGACAAACTCACAGCCACTATCATACTGAAGAGAGAAAAGCTGAAAGCATTCCCCCTCAGAACTGGAACGAGGCTGGGCACAGTGGCTCATGCTTGTAATCCCAGAGCTTTGGGAGGCCAATTCAGGAAGATCACTTGAGTCCAGGAGTTCCAGACCAGCTTGGGCAATATAGTGGGACTCTTTCTCTAAAAAAATTTTAAAATTTGCTGGCCATGAAGATACATGCTTATAGTCCTAGTTACTCAAGAAGTTGAGGTGGGAGTTCAGGAGTTCAAGGTTATAGTGAGTTATGATCATGCCATTGCACTCCAGCCTGGACAATACAGTGAAACCCTCTCTCTAAAAAAAAGAAAAGAAGAAAATAATTTCTTTTTTTTTTTTTTTTTTTGAGATGGAGTCTCGCTCTGTCACCCAGGCTGGAGTTCAGTGGCTTGATCTTGGCTCACCACAAGCTCTGCCTCCTGGGTTCACGCCATTCTCCTGCCTCAGTCTCCCGAGTAGCTGGGACTACAGGTGCTCACCACCACACCCAGCTAATTTTTGTATTTTTAGTAGAGATGGGGTTTCACCGCGTTAGCCAGGATGGTCTTGATCTTCTGACCTTGTGATCCGCCTGCCTCGGTCTCCCAAAGTGCGTGAGCCACTGCACCCAGCCAAGAAAATAATTTCTTAATGTAGTTCCTTTTGTTAGATCCCAGTGAGGTAAATATGGCAAAAAGCCCAAAGGAAAAGATTTTTTGTGTGTGAATATGTGGAATGTCTCCATTGACATAAGATGATTTTTCTAATATGAGTTTATATTTGTAGTTGACAATGTAATGAAAGTTAGAGATGTTCAGTGAGCATCTATAATATTCAAGGATAACATCAATCACAGAAGGCAACTGTCATGTTTTCCTACAATTATCCGATTGTCAGAGTGAATAGTAAGCTAGGTGGATTGACTCTGTAATGTATTTCACATCTTTTTATGTAAGAGCATCTGACTCTTCATTTATTTTAGAACTGAAGGAATATGTGTTGTAGCAAAAAGACACAGCTACCGATAAAATCCTTATCTAAAGAATTATTAGGCTGGGCGTAGGGGCTCACACTTGTAATTCCAGCACTTTGGGAGGTTGAGGCTGGTGGATCACCTGAGGTCAGGAGTTCAAGACCAACCTGACCAACATGGCAAAACCCCGTCTCTACTAAAAATACAAAAATTAGCCAGATGTGGTGGTACGCATCTGTAGTCCCAGCTACTTGGGAGGCTGAGGCAGGAGAATTGCCTGAACCTGGGAGGTGGAGGTTGCAGTGAGCCAAGATCCCACCAGTGTACTCCAGCTTGGGTGACAGTCTCAAAAAAAAAAAAACCCACAAAGAATTGTTAGATAATGTATTTTCTGCTAGGAAGTTAATTTAGGGAAGCAATACCTGAAGATTAAGGCAGAAAATGCCCACCTACTTCTCTTTTCTATTAGATGAATATACCTTGTCAGTAGAGGGCTGACAATGTCAGAGATTGAATGAATAAGTGTAACACACACACACGCCGTCTCCCTATACATGAAATAGAGAACCAGGGACGTGTGGAGAACTGGGTCAAAAGCAATAATATGTGAGAGGAAAGGGCCTCATAAACTTCTGTTAAGCAAATTGCTCCCTTTCGTATATGTAAGGTTACTACAAAAATGGAAGGGGAATAAAAGTTTCTCTCACTGAAGAAAAGTGGGGACCAGGCGCAGTGGCTCATGACTGTAATCCCAGCACTTCGGGAGGCCGAGGTGGGTGGATCACCTGAGGTTAGGAGTTCGAGACCAGCCTGGCCAACATGGCGAAACCCCATCTCTACTAAAAATACAAAAAAAATTAGCTGGGCATGGTGGTGGGTGCCTGTAATCCAGCTACTCAGGAGGCTGAGGCAGAAGAATCATTTGAACCTGAGAGGTGGAGGCTGCAGTGAGTCAAGATCGCACCACTGCACTCCAGCCTGGGCAACAGATAAAGGCTCCCTCTCAAAAGAAAAAAGAAAAGTGGGAACGTTTCTCTTAATATGTAAATCTTGGCTGGGCGCAGTGGCTCACACCTGTAATCCCGCCACTTTGGGAGGCTGAGGCTGGTGGGTCACGAGGTCAGGAGATCGAGACCATCCTGGCTAACACGGTGAAACCCTGTCTCTACTAAAAACACAAAAAATTAGGTAGGCATAGTGGCATGTGCTTGTAGTCCCACCTACTCGGGAGGCTGAGGCAGGAGAATTGCTTGAACCCTGGAGGCAGAGGTTGCCATGAGCCAAGATCGTGCCATTGCACTCTGGCCTAGGCGACAGAGCAAGACTGTCTCAAACAAAAAACAAAAAACAAAAACCATGTAACTCTTCCCAAGCTTTTCTTCTTATTTTTACCTTTCTAAAATGTAGGGGAGATAATCTAAGTATTTTCATCCTATTCTGTTCACTGATCTTGGTAATCCAGGCTTCCAGCTATAAAACTTACCATAATCAAATATAGTATAAGGAAATTCCTTTGCTGGCTGTGTTGCTTAACGGCCTCTATAGTTCTGAGTAGGGTGATCACCCATCCCAGTTTTAGCACTGAAAGTCATCCATCCTGGGAAATGCCTCAGTACTGGGCAAACCAGGACAGTTGGTCACTCTTATGCTGAGTTGGGGAGAAAGCATGTAAGAAGGGAGGAACCAAGGAAAATGAGAAGTCCTGAGGTATGAAGAGAACTTTTTTTTCCTTTTGAAGCATATTTACTATAGCTAGGAAAATTGAAAATTAATAAGCTTGTATCAGTGTGCTTAGTAGTGAATTAGTGATTTGCTGCATTAAGGGTGAATATTAAGTAGGCCTCTGGCCAGGCACAGTAGCCTGTAATCCCAGCACTGTGGAGGCCGAGGTGGCAGGATCACTTGAGCCCAGAAGTTTGAGAACAGCCTGTAGAACAAAGTGAGACCCCGTCTCTACAAAAAATAATAAACAAACATCAGCCAGGTGTGGTGGCGTGTGTCTGTAGTCCCAGCAACTTGGGAGGCTAAGGCAAGAAGATTGCTTGAGTCCAGGGGGTTGAGGCTGCAGTGAACCAAGATCATAGCACTGTACTCTGGTCTGGGCAACAGAGTGAGACCCTGTCTATAAAAAACAAACAAACAAAAAGGTAGACCCCTGTGTTTACTCCTGCATTCTTCAGGACCCATACTAAAAGACATGTTGGGAAATAAGAATGCAGAATGCCATAATGGTTTTGAATCCTCTTGAACATAGAAGAACGTTTTGCCTTCAGTGGAGGGCTTTTGTTCTAAGATGCAGTCTCTTTCCTGCTGTAAGGTTATTTTAGGAAGTGGAGATACAAACTTTTTTTTTTTTTTTTTTTGGAGACTAAGAGTCTTGCTTTGTAACCTAGGCTGGAGTGCAGTGGTACGATCTCAGCTCACTGCAACCTCTGCCTCCCAGTTTCAAACAATTCTCTTGCCTCACCCTTTTGAGTAACTGGGACTACAGGCGTGTGCCATCACACCCAGCTAATTTTTGTATTTTTAGTAGAGATGGGGTTTAACCATGCTGGCCAGGCTGGTCTCAAACTCCTGACTTCAAGTGATCTGCCCATCTTGGACTTCCAAAGTGCTGAGATTACAGGCGCGAGCCACCACACCTGGCCACGACATTTTTACTTTCAAATATAGGGCCTTTATGCAATTGCAAACCACTGTAAACATTATTTGTCTGTGTCTATATTTGATACTTATACTCCAGCTCTGTTTTGATTAGCAAAAAAAAAAAGAAAAGAAAGAAAAATAAATATAGTTAATACTAAGAGTAAGACTTCCTGTAACATACTTGGCTGACCAATTTTGGGTTGTACTTTTGCCTTGGTGTCTCTCAACAAGCTTATCTTTCTTCCTTAGTCTTGTTCTTGGTTTCTTATCTTACAGAGAGGTGTGGGAAATGGAACTGGATAGACTTAAGAATCAGGATGGCGAAATAAATAGGAACATTATGGAAGAGACTGAACGGGCCTGGAAGGCAGAGGTGAGAAGAGGAGCTGATATCTTGAAAGTCTTAATTTCAGGCTTCCAGATGGTGTCTACTTTTGGCATAGTAATAGGAGAGCCAGTAAGCTTTTGTTTTCACTACCTAGGGGTAGCTTTGTGTATGTAAAATTAATAAAGTATTTATATGTGTGTGGCTTCCTTAGATCTTATCACTAGAGAGCCGGAAAGAGTTACTGGTACTGAAACTAGAAGAAGCAGAAAAGGAGGCAGAATTGCACCTTACTTACCTCAAGTAAGTACTGTTCCATTCTAGAGCTTTAATTGTCTTGCAGTTTGTTTGTTTGTTTGTTTAGGTTTTTTAATTCCTAGGCCAGGTAGTCTGGCACTTACTCTGTCTGCACAGGAATTTTAAGGCTATCTCTGTCCGCAGTAGCAATTGCTCAGTGATTTTTCTTCCCACATTCTAAAGTTCTGTACTCTTCGCTTCTACAGTTTTAAAGTTTTGCATTTTTTAATGTTTTGTTTCCATTTGGATAAACACTATCTGTTAAAGCCAGATATAATAGCATGCTCCTGTAATCCCGCACTTTGGGAGGTCGAGGCAGGAGGATGACTTGTGCCCAGGAGGTTGAGGCTGCAGTGAGCTTTGATTGCACCACTGCACTCCAGCCTAGGCGACAGTGAGACCCTGTCTCTAAAAAATAAAAAATAACCAGCATCTGTTAACCTATCAAAGCATAACACTGGTCTTTGGAGATTCATTTCCTATGTAGTCATTTATTTTCTTTCTGCCATGGAACTTGGAGGACCCCTGTGGCATTTTCAGGCAGACAAGAACGTTCTCTCTGTTGTTGGTTCTCTTTCTCAAATACTTAAAAGATACTGGAGTTAAAGTGAGGCAAAGGAATTAGAGTCTTGGGCTTCTCCTGCACCTGCTTCCACCTCTTTTTCTCAACGGCAGTTAGCCAGCTACTATTTTGCTTTTGCTATCTCAGAGAATTAGGAATTGGACTTTTTTTTTTTTTTTTTTTTTTTAAGACAGGGTCTCCCTCTGTAGTGCAGTGGTACCATCTTGGCTCACTGCAGCCTCTGACTTCTGAGCACAAGCCATCCTCCTACCTCAGCCTCCCAAGTAGCTGGGACTATAGGCGCGAGCCACCACACCTGGCTAATTTTGCATTTTTTTAAGAGACAGGGTTTAGCCACATTGCCTAGGCTGGTCTGGAACTCCTGAGCTCAAGTGATCTGCCCGCCTTGGCCTCTCAAAGTGCTGGGATTACAGGCGTGAGTCACTGTGCCCAGCAGGGCTTCCTTTAAATCTGTAAATTCCTATTGGTTTCTTGAAAGGTCAACTCCCCCAACACTGGAGACAGTTCGTTCCAAACAGGAGTGGGAGACAAGACTGAATGGAGTTCGGATAATGAAAAAGAATGTTCGTGTAAGTGTATTTATGAGTCATGATTCAGTCAGTGTTAGTCTGTGCTCAACACTTCCCGCAATCGGGAGATAGCCTTTTACATTGCCATTTAGGGCAATGCAACTACTATTCCTTTAATAGTTTTCCTGATAATGGATGGTGCTGTCTTTCTAGAGAGCCTCAGTCAGTTCAGCAGTAAAAATAATCTTCTTTTTTTTTTTTAGGACCAATTTAATAGTCATATCCAGTTAGTGAGGAATGGAGCCAAGCTGAGCAGCCTTCCTCAAATCCCTACTCCCACTTTACCTCCACCTCCATCAGAGGTAAGAGAGCTGGCTTTGGGGGGAAGTTCACCTTTCTGTGTTGGTAGCAGAAGCAGAGTCTCTACGTGTTCTTTTTATGAAGATATTGGGATCATCCCTATTCACTGCAAGAGTTGTTCATTGATTTCTTCTCCAGTTTCGTAAACTTTCTTTTTTTCCTTTCTCTCTTGTCCTCTACCTCTTCTCCTCTGCAGACAGACTTCATGCTTCAGGTGTTCCAACCCAGTCCCTCTCTGGCTCCTCGGATGCCCTTCTCCATTGGGCAGGTCACAATGCCCATGGTTATGCCCAGTGCAGATCCCCGCTCCTTGTCTTTCCCAATTCTGAACCCTGCCCTTTCCCAGTCCAACCAGCCTTCCTCATCCCTTCCTGGCTCCCATGGCAGAAACAGCCCTGGCTTGGGTTCCCTTGTCAGCCCCCACGGTCCACACATGCCCCCTGCCGCCTCCATCCCGCCTCCCCCAGGCTTGGGCGGTGTTAAGGCTTCTACTGAAACTCCCCGGCCCCAACCAGTAGACAAACTGGAGAAGATCCTGGAGAAGCTGCTGACTCGGTTCCCACAGTGCAATAAGTAAGTATCTTCAAGGACTGATTCAGATGTCTTTATCAGAGAAATGCTTATGGGTTAAAATAGAAGAGGTTACATGGGTGTTCCCTGTGGGTATAGTGTAGGCTTTCTCTCCCTCAACGTTTTTCTTTCTCAGGGCCCAGATGACCAACATTCTTCAGCAGATCAAGACAGCACGTACCACCATGGCAGGCCTGACCATGGAGGAACTTATCCAGTTAGTTGCTGCACGACTGGCAGAGCATGAGCGGGTGGCAGCAAGTACTCAGGTGAGAAAAGCCACTTGGGAGAGAACTGAGGCCTGCTGAGGGCTGGGGAAGAGGTAGATTTCTTGTGGGGAGGGAAGAAGCATTCCAGTCAGAGGTGGCTAGTCTGCTTTTTTCCTTTGCTGGACTGGGAAATAAGTGATTTTTGTGATATGCTGTTACTCAGACTCTCTTCCCTTACTCTGACAATGTTTCTACCTACAGCCACTTGGTCGCATCCGGGCCTTGTTCCCTGCTCCACTGGCTCAAATCAGTACTCCAATGTTCTTGCCTTCTGCCCAAGTTTCATATCCTGGAAGGTCTTCACATGTAAGACTCTTTTTCTTTGAACACTGTGATATGGAGAAGCTGGAGGTGAGGAAGGAGTGGGTTTACAGGTGGAGTGCAGGAAGAAACCATCAGTTGGGTTATTTGCAGCCCTACTGGGAAAATGCAAATATTTTAGGCAAGAATCTATATTTGGCTTTTTATTTATTTTGATATAAATCTTTTTGCTACATGGAATTATGGGCATAAAAGGCAAGAAGACCCAGAGGTACCTTACCTTTTGACCATGCCGCCTCTGTTCTACAGGCTCCAGCCACCTGTAAGCTATGTCTAATGTGCCAGAAACTCGTCCAGCCCAGTGAGCTGCATCCAATGGCGTGTACCCATGTATTGCACAAGGAGGTAGGTGTTACAGACCTTCTTCATTGTCTACACTTTCTCTTCTGACAGCTAAAATAATTTTTCTTTCTCATTTTCTACTTTTTTTTTTCCTGATAGCTAAAATAACTTCTCTTTTACTGTGTTGGTGCTTTTTTTTTTTTTTTAAGACAGAGTCTTGCTCTGTTGCCCAGGCTGGAGTGCAATGGTATGATCTCAGCTCACTGCAACCTCCACCTCTCAGGTTCAAGTGATTCTCCTGCCTCAGCCTCCTGAGTAGCTGGGACTACAGGCGCCTGCCAACACGCCTGGCTAATTTTTGTGTTTTTAGTAGAGACGGGGTTTCACCATATTGGCCAGGTGGGTCTCAAACTCCTGACCTTGTGATCCGCCCATCTCGGCCTCCCAAAGTGTTGGGAGTACAGGCATGAGCTACCGTGCCCAGTCTTTTTTTGTTTGTCTTTTGAGACAGGGTTTTATTCTGTTGCCCAGCCTGGAATGCAGTGGCATGATTATAGCTCACTACAGCCTCAATTTCCCAGGCTCAAGGTGCTTCAGTCTCTTGAGTAGCTGAGACTACAGGTACATGCCATCATGCCCAGCTAATTTTTTTTTCTTTTTTAGTAGAGACAAGGTCTTGTTATGTTGCCTAGGCTGTCTCAAACTCCTGGGCTCAGGTGATCCTCCTGCCTCAGCCTCCCGAAGTGCTGGGATTACATGTGTGAGCCACTGCACCTGGTCTCTAATATCTACTCATAAGGTTTTCAGTAAATTGTGGCTTAAACATTAGCAGAATTCAGAATACTGCAGTTAGGATCTCTCAACTTTTTACCCCATTCCCTTCAGGGGACTGGATAAGCAATTCATACTGAGCACTAAATCACTTTCCTGGAAAATTGACAATGAGTGATAATCCCACATATCTAACTATTGTTCAAAATATAGCATTGTCAGAAGACTTTGCCTAGATGAGAGGAATGGAATGGAGGACCTGAGTATGAGATTAAGAACTCCATTACAGAATAGCTTGGAAGGCTTGCCGGTTAGAGATTATCTTCACAGGCTGACAAGTCATTCCTATTTTTTCATGTTGCCAGGCAGAGTTAAGTCTCTTAGTAGCAGGGATGATTTCCTCTTAACCATTTTGTTTTGTTCATTTTGCTTTTCGAAGAGATAGAAACTGAATTTACATCTAAATTCTTAGTAAGAAAAATTCCTGAATAAGATTTGAGGGTGTCAGGTATTAGAACAGAGACGTTCATCTCAGGCGAAATGGATCCTAAGGGGAAGCAAGCCGCACTAGACATTCAACAAAAAGCAGCATCATGAACACTTTCATCAGCTCATTGTTAATGTTCCTCTTAAAAAGGTTCACTTGCACTGAGGATTCTTTTAGGGTAAGAGCCATTGAATAGCCCTTCTTGGGGCCGGATGTGGTGGCTCACACCTGTAATCCCAGCACTTTGGGAGGCTGAGGCAGGCAGATCACTTGAGGCCAGAGTTTGAGATCAGCCTGGCCAACAAAGTGAAACCCCATCTCTACTAAAAATACAAAAATTAGCCGGGAATGGTGGTGGATGCCTGCCTGTAATCCCAGCTACTCGGGAGGCTGAGGCAGGAGAATAGCTTGAATCCAGGAAGCAGAGGTTCCAGTGAGCTGAGATCGCACCACTGCATTCCAGCCTGGTCAATAGAGTGAGACTCTGTCTCAAAAAGGAAAAAAAGAAAAAAGAAAAAAAAGCCCCTCTTGTACCTCAGTGTAAGAACTTTTCTGACTTAGGCCTTGTTGAACCTTATTGGCATTCTCTCCTTCCTTCCCTTTGTCTTTCCAGATAAACCTGAGGTGTGTCTTTCTTTCTTTCCAGTGTATAAAATTCTGGGCCCAGACCAACACAAATGACACTTGTCCCTTTTGTCCAACTCTTAAATGACGGACCTGACTGGGGAGGAAGAAGAAGAGAAACTGATGTGAACAGGAAGCGCGGGTTCAAGATTTCTAAAACTCTATATTTATACAGTGACATATACTCATGCCATGTACATTTTTATTATATAGGTAATGTGTGTATAGAAAGTCTGTATTCCAATGTTCGTAAATGAAAGTATGTATATTATGCAGAAACAGTCTGTTCCCCCTCATCTTGCAATTCCTTTGGGGGATGCAGATTGTAGGGAAGATGATGTTTAGTTTGGCCTTGAAATTATGATATCCCCGCCCAGGGCTGTTTTCAAATACAATATAAAAACCACCTAGGAACCTGCTGTTGCTCTAAGGCCATTCTGCTTTGGTTTGGCTCAGCCTCTAGTCCATTTTCTTAAGGCTCATGTATGCAGATTTAAAGCCTGGTGCTCACCCACTGTCCAACCAGATGCCTTGCTTACTGAAAGCCTCCAGAAGCCTCAGTATTGTTTTAGCCACTCTACTCCAAATGGATAAAATGAGACTCTGATTGAGGAAAAAAAAGTAACCCTAGTAGTTTGACTTCTTATTGAATATTTTACTGTGTTAACGCTCATTATTTATACAGATGTTAGGTTTACAGAATATTCTGTTTTACATCACCAAAATTCACAGTCCGAGAATAACAACATAACCAGGTCCCAGTTCTTCCATGCACCCCACAAGCTTCTGTCCAGTCTATTTTCTGGATAGAAATTAGCACAACCCACAGGTTTTTCCTGGGCCAAGCCTTCCTTTGCTGCCACTGGCTTGGCTTCTAATCAAGCTCTGACCAGCCAACATTGTGAAGTCCTCACCCTTTCCCATTCGCTTCTGGTCTCCTAGTCTAGCTAATCCCCCTCCCCCTGAAGGTTAAGGCAGTTGGTTCACAACCAAGTTGTTTGGTGACCTTGGGTGAGCTCCAGACAGGCACTGGGGTGAGGAGATGTCTGTGCAAAATTACTTGCAGAATGATCTTGGGATGCTGGATTTTAATTTTTGAAGCAAGAAAGTTATGGGGGACATATTTCCTGTCCTGGGAACAATGGAGACCAAAGTGATATTAAGAAAACAGTTTGGATTTCAAATTTATAAATCACTTGCTCTATGGGTAGCTATTAGGAACTAGATCATTTTCCACCTTTGCTTGTCGTATTTCTTAATTTTAGGTTTTATACCTGGGAAAGCTGTGACTCTGTTAGAGCTTTGAATCTTTTCCTATCCTTTTATCTTTACTCCTACAGGGAATGGCCTCAGCTCCCTTCTCTTTTAGAATTAAACAAGTAAAAACTAAGAGTTAACTTTTTAAAAAAACTGACTCCAGGCAAAGGACTACCAATAGCTGATTTTTTTTTTCCATTATGGGACCTAAAATGCTTACAGGTATTAGCAATACATGTCAGATAGCAAAGACTTTTCCTTTCAGACCCAACTAAATGATCTCCTCTCTGCTTTTGATACTCTTCTCCTTCTTTCTCTTTCATCCCTGCCTGTCACCTCACAGATGGATTCTTTCTCATTTCTCTTGCCTCACTTGCCCAGGTTTATTGACTAGCATCAGTTTAAGGAGCTGGACTTCCTGGGACCTCCTTGGCATCTTGTAGGGTGATTGGAGTGGCCTGAGTACTCAGCTCTTCAGAGGTCAGGTGACCCACTTTCTTTGGTTAATGAAATGTTACTGTCTCCAGGTTAGTAGCTGTCATGAACAGGAAAGGTGGCAAAATGGAAGACCAGTTCCATTGTTCTTTTCGTTTAGGGGATTCATTTTTTATCTTGTAATCTTAAGATTTCCTCTCCCCTCAACTTTATAGCAGCCTTAGGCCACCTGCCGTATTTTTCAGTATCCCCTGAAAATTTAGAAATTGGAAATGAGTGTAAAGCATATTGTTTCTTTTTCAAAATCCTCTGAAGCCAAAGGAGTAAAGAAAGAAAAAAGGAAGTGGTGAGGAGGGGGCTTAACTGCTTCCCAGTAAAGACCCTGGAAAGCCCATTCTAGCAGGATAAGTGTTTTGGAGAGTTGTGCATGGGAGCGAGTGCCTCAGTGTTACTCTTTCTTGTTCAGGATCAGTCAGAAAGCAACACAAGTGTTGGCCACCCCTGTTCTCCCTTCTCCCTCTGTCCACTGGCCTGCAATGGTAAAAGCCATGCAGACCAATGGGAAAGGCCCCAAATACAGTGAGTGGAGAATGGGACAGTCATTTTTCAGGAGAATTTAAAAATAGAGATGTATAATACATATTTTTACAAGCAAGAAGCTGTTAAGACTTTTTTTTTTACACTTACAGTTTTGGGGTAGGAAGGAAGTAACTGTAAAAAGAAAAACAAGTGCAGGTTTTCTTTAAAAACAATAATAGGCTGATGGGACTTGCTATTGAAGGGGTTGAATTTTATGCCCTGGAAAGGGCTGGGAAAAAGCCAGTTTTTCCCAACATGGGTAGAAATTATAAAGCAGAATGTGGCATTTTCACTTCATGGTAGCAGTTCTGGAAGTTTATTTACACAGTAAGTTCCGAGCTAGAAGTGGACAGTCTCCAGTCTTCCTGTCAGGCTCTGTAGTTATGGGGTGTTCCCAGTCAGCCAAAGCAGCACCAAGTGCAGTGGGAATGAAGAGAACCCAGATAAAAAACTGACTCAGTATTCTTGTTTTATTGGTTTATGGCTTGTGGGCAGCTGGCTGAGGCCAGGAACACCAGAGGCCCTCCTTATATTTCCTTCTCCCTTATCAGGTAATTCCACACTTGGCAGGTCCCATACCTGGAAGCAGCGTGTTGACCAGATAGGAGTAGGATGCAGTGGGTATACCAGGAAAATCCAGCTCTTCCCACTAACACTGGTACCATAGTTTACTATGCTAGAACTGATAGGGAGGTAATGAACTTGGTCCCCACTACCTAGCCCAAGAACCAGCCTGGGTACCCACGTACCGTTAGGAGCCGGGAGGGGAGAGCAGGATAGGGGAAAAAGATGGCCTTCATCAAGGAGCTCTTGTGGTGGAGAACATAAGGAAGCCCTGAAGCTGCCATCCTTTCTCCAGGCAGCCTTGATACTGAAGGCAATGATGTTAGAGCCAGAAAGCACTGTATTTCTCATACTCCTGGTATAATACTAGTGCCACTGTGTGATGCTTTAGTCAAATAAATGGAGGGGCCATTAGAGAGGGCAGGAAGGCAATGAAACCACTCTGAATTATGTAAAGATCTTGCTACTTCTTATAGCCTAATAGGAAGAAATCCAGGCAGGGGTTATAGGGCATCAGCTGTTGAATGAATCTTCAACATTATGCTTTTAAGGATTAGGAGGAAGAGGTCTCCTACCTATTCCTTTTAGCACCTTGGCTGCAAAGCTCCAGAGGAAGATTTGGGGGAAAGAGTGAACCTGTGACCAGGAAGACAGAGCCCAGCCCTGCTATATAGTCCAGTTGCTCTCTCACAGGGCACCTGGAGCTTAGGGGGTTAGGATATTTCGGTGCTACCTATCATATGTAGAATAAGGGTTCAGGTAGAGACAAGTGAAATTAATATGGTAGAAATTCATGTGTTAAGTGGAACTTTTTAGTGGGCACTTCATTTAAGAGAGCTAAAAAAAGAGCTCTTTGGCTAGATAAGCCCTTCCCATCTCACTTTTGGTCAGGCTGCACACAGAAAACATTGAAACAACACCCATCCTATGAGATGGGATGCTATCTTGGAGATGAGGTCTAAAACTAGGACTGGTGAGTGGTTGTGTTTCTGCTTTTCCTAGCTTCGATCCCACTATTCCCTGTCTTTGTACTCTCTCTCCTTCTCCTCTTTCCAACCGCCCCCATTTGTATAAATATTCAATCTAGTTTTTTTTTTAAATTCAAGAGGCAATCTTTGCACCAATGTTAGGCTTGTTTATACAGTCCCTGTCTCTAAAGCAAATAGCAAACTGTGCATCCTCTCCTACTGACTTTGGCCAGCGGGGAAACAAGCTTGGTCTCTTCTCTGCCAGGGTACCACAGGGACACACACCAGGGTAACCTGGGTGTGATGCCAGTACTTCTGAAACTAAGAAAAGAAGAATACTTTGGGTTGGAGAAGGAATGGTGGACAAAGGTTCAGGGCTGAAGTTTCAAGCAGCAGAATTTCCCAACTTAAATTTGAGGTGACCAAGAGTATTCCCGCCACCAGAGTGCTTCTTTCTTCTCTTTTCTATTTCCTCCAGGTACAGTCCCTGGAACCCACCTTGCCAGCCTTTTCCTTCTTCTCCATCAAGGCAGAGGCATTTGGTGGGTGGGGAGGGTCCTGAGGTGCTCTGGCCACAGGTGCCATCTGTGTCTCCTACTTGTGACCAAAGTGAACCACGGAGGTGTGGTCCAGGGGAATCTCTATCTTCTGCCCATGGGCCTCCTCACTTCAGCAGGGAGATGTCATCAGCAAAGTCATCATGCTGCTGGCGCAGGCAGCGGAGGCAGCGCCACTGACACACCATGAGGCAGAGAGGCAGCATGAAGAGGGCGCAGATGGCAGCCATGACATAGGCTATGGTCATGAGGGTTGACTCATCTGTCTGTGGAATGTTGTAGCCACAGTCTTCCATGTCCGGGGTGACAAAAGGGCCTTCCACCGCTGCCGTCCTGAACTCATCGTGCACTGGGGAGAGGGTAAATGTGAATGGACAGCTGTCATTGTCATAGAGCAGTTTGGGTTACATAACAAAAAGAACTTCCTGATAGTGAGGCCTTGAAATTAGCCCATGCAGAAGCTATCCAATCTCCTTCCCAGGAGATATTTAGGAGCAGGCTGGGAAGCCAGCACCAGGTAGAGGCCTGTCTCCCCTCCCAAGTCACTGGGAGTAGCAGCCCTTCCTTGTATACCCAACCGATAGGAGTGATAACTACAACTCAGTAGTTCTGAATTGACCAAAAGCCACACCTAGTAAACTTAGTTTCTGCTGCTGAAATTCAACTGCAAAACCCTGCCATCTTTCTGAAGTAGCATTCAACCTCACCATGTGGCAGCTGACAGGGTCACTATAGGCTCAGCCTGCTACCCTTGCATCAAGAGCTTCCCAAGGTACACAGGTAGCTCTCGCTGCTCTGGGTTTCCAACAGAGGTTACCAATCCAGGCAGTGGTCATTATGGCAGGCAGTACAAAAAAAGGATGAGCATTGACACTACCTTTTGCACAACTGTTGACTTGGGTTTGAGGCAACTGTTACTACCCTCCTGTAAACTGACGGGCCCAGGTATACTAACTGTTGTTAGACAAGGAAAATATGGCGAGACTGACCCCAGACCCTCAGCCCTGGCACTCTCACCATGGCAAGCGCTGACAGCAAAGCCAATTCGTTTTCGGGCCCGATCAAAGACAACGTAGAAGCCCTCCATGATAACAGCTCCCATAACAGTGCCCGTGGATGACTGTGAGATGGCAAACTTGTAACAGTCGTCTTGGGACGTGGCCACATCTTCCACTGGCCGCAGGTATTGCTAGGGGTAAGCAATCACAGGGTGAGTGTCTTCCTCACTCTCCTTCACCCCATCTCTGCCTTGTAGGCATCTGTGCCCTTCCCTTTACCATCCTTGAGCTCTAACGGGTTTTCTAAGACCCCTTTACCACTGGACACTACTCATCTGTTTTGTCTTCCAAGTTCTGGCAAGCCATACCTGCTCACTGTCTCCCAGTGTGTACTTTTAAGAGAGATCCCCCTGACTCAGGCTGGGACATACCTGCGGAAGGATGGTGATGCGGAAGGACTGGTTGGTAACCTCACCCATTAGGTAGAGTGAGATGACTGGGAAAATGTTCCAAGGGGTGGTGCCTGCTTGCCAGCACACCAGCTGCTCTCCTAGCCAGAAACCATCAGGGAACTTCTCTGTCTGCGTTGGCAAGAAGGTGTAACAATGAGGAAAAGACTCTTTATCATCTCACCCCTCCCATGTTCAGATACATTAACTGGGCCCTTCATTTGCTTTTCCAGTGAAATATCCAAAGTGGGGAGGGGTAAACCAACCAAAGAATTACAGGAAGAGAGTGGGAGTGTGATGTCAAACTTTTGTACCAGGGGGATTGTGTGATGAGCAAAGTGATAGCCATAAAGTGGGGGAAGAGTTTTTTTTTTTTTTTTTTTTTAAACAGAGTCTCACTCTGTTGCCCAGGCTGGAGTGCAGTGGTGCGATCATGGCTCACCGCAACCTCCACCTCCTGGGTTCAAGCGATTTTCCTGTCTCAGCCCCCCGAGTAGCTAGGATTACAGGCTCGCGCCACCACACCCAGCTAATTTTTGTACTTTTAGTAGAGATGGGGTTTCACCATGTTGGTCAGGCTGGTCTTGAACTCCTGACCTAGTGATCTGCCCACCTTGGCCTCCCAAAGTGCTGGGATTACGGGTGTGAACCACCATGCCTGGCTAGGGGAAGAGTGTTTTAAAAGCTCTGAGTAGAAGGGTCTAAGTGCAGACATCTTGGCTGTTGCTGAAGAATGTGACTCTCACCACCTCCCTCTGACGCTGTACCATCTCTTTTACCCCCATCCTTAGTCCACTCACGGAGGAGGCTGCCTTGATGGATTTGACTGCAGCTTCAAACACTTTCTTGGGCAAACGAAGGTTGGTGGTGCCACTGTCCACAATGCTCTTGTCATAGTTGTACTAAGAGGGGAAAGAGAGAGGTAGAAGAGTCAAAAGGTTTTTGATGCTGGGCTCTGGGCAGTAGGGGGTTATTGCTGGGGCCGCGGCCGGGTTGGCATCTTGGCTTTGGCACCTCCTAAGTGTACCTGCTTGGACAAGTTAACTTCTGTGCTTCCGTTTCTTCATCTCTAAAGTGAGGATAAAAATAGTACCTACCTAAAAGGGTTATTGTAAGGATTAAATAAATCAACCATTTAAAGCACTTAGAATTGTGCCCAGAAGATAGAAGGCACTTGGTAAATGTTTATTCTTGTTATCTTGGGTTGGCAGGTAGTCTCCAAACTTGAAAATAAAAATACCCTGTATAGTGCTTTTAACTTTTCTTCCTTTCTTTTTTTTTTTTTTTTTTTTGAGACGGAGTCTGGCTCTGTCACCCAGGCTGGAGTGCAGTGGTGTGATCTTGGATCACTGTAACCTCTGCCTCCTGGGTTCAAACCATTCTTTTGCCTCAGCCTCCCAAGTAGCTGGGACTACAGGTGCCTGCCACCACACCTGGTTATTTTTAGTAGAGATGGGTTTCACCATGTTGGCCAGGCTGGTCTCGAATTCCTGACCTCAAATGATCTGCCCCGCCTTGGTCTCCCAAAGTGCTGGGATTACAGGTATGAGCCACCACGCCCGGCCGCTTTTAACTTTTCTTAGTACATTTATATCTATTCTAATTTAACGTACATAAGAATCTAGGGAAGGAAGACATAAATGATTTACCTTTTATTGAGTACTGCCAACCACAGAGATAAACACTTTATACATTATCTCTGATATTCTGAGCAAGTTGTTTTTACCTGTTTTGCAGATAAGGAAACTGAAACACAGAATAGTAACTGGCCTAAGGGTACATAGCTAGTAGAAATCAGAGCTACATTCAGATCTGGGTCTTCCTGACTCCAAAGACAGACCCTTCATTCTCTCACCCTGTCTCACAAAAGACTTGCCCAAGGCTACGAGGCAAGGCAGTGACTACAGTCCAGACATCAGAGCTAGTTCCATATTTTTTTTTTTTCACTACCAGTCCCTAGGCCCCAAACCTCAGATCCTGCTGTGTGACCATTAAGCCCCTGACTGTTCTAGGCTCAACTTCCAACCCTTTCTGCAGGTCCTATTACTTCTGCCTCATCCTCTCAACATCATAACCAGAGGCTTCCTTCACATTGTACTGCCTACCCCTTTACGTTCCCTGGGTCTCCCTTGGTTTTATTACCTCCTTGCAGTCCATTTTCAGATCCTGTCCATTGATCTCCACCCGCACAATGATCACCTCATAATACCACTCCCGCCGGATGGGTGTATACCAGAGACTGCCTGTGTACAGCGAGTGGTCGATACCTCCAATGATCTAGGAGGAAAAAAAGGCAGGTACCTGTGTCCTGGCACGGAAGGAGAGTGAGTCCCCCAAGGACCAAGCAATAAGATCAGTGATTTCTTGGGGTGGCAAGGTCTTCTACGGGCTACC